CAGTGGGAGCTATTAGTGAGGTGGCTTTGTTTGTATGTTGCAACTCCAGCTTCTCCAAGTCATTTTGCATTTCTGAAATAAAGTTTTTATAAAAATGTTTTTGTGCTACCCTCCTGCTTACATTTTTTTTTTTTTTTTTACAGGGAGGGAGTTAGGTTTCCTGGTGGTACAGTCGAAATTCTAAATCTCAGATTGTCCAGGTGTTTATTAATTCCTGATGATCCAGTGAGGTATATAATTTATTTAACATTCATAGCTCCCTCCCCATAATCTCTCCCTCTACCATTCCATTCATAATTCTCCCCCCATCCCTTCCATTTATAATTCTCCCCCCCTCTACCCCTTTCATTTATAATTCTCCCCTCCACCCCTTCCATTCATAATTCTCCCCCCTACCTTTTCCATTCAGAATTCTCCCCTCCTACTCCTTCCATTCAGAATTCTCCCTGCCTCTACTCCTTCCATTCAGAATTCTCCCTGCCTCTACTCCTTCCATTCTTAATTCTCCCCCTCAACCCTTCCATTCAGAATTCCCCCCCCACCCTTTGCATACAGAATTCTCCCCTGTACCCCTTCCATTTATTATACACCCTCTCCTGCTCGGGCAGCAAGCTTTTTTTCTCACACAGCCAACGGCTGAGGCAATGGTAATGTCGGCTCTGCTCTCCCCCTACACACATTTTACCTTACATAGCAGGGGAGGGCCTCTCATTCTCCGTTGGCGGTGGGCGCAGTGAGTCACACTGAGCACTGGGTAGTCACGTGACACCCGGTGCTCCTACGCAGAGTGGGAGGCACTCCCCCTCCCAGTGTACAGTGCGTGTGGCTCCCTTATGGAACCGCACACAGCCTGGGGGCGCCGGAAGCACAAAAAACACTTGTCAACCCCTTACTCCATTGATGTCTCTCTTTGTACTCCCACATGACAACACTAGATATGATGCTATATTGTGTTGTCCTCTAAAATTAATTGATCTATTTCTATCTTCTATCTTTACATAGGTCGATAATACCATTTATAGAAGGTGTTTTCTTGATTTTTTTTCTCATTTTTTTTTATATATTACAAGCATTTTTTTAAGTCCAGATCTTTAAATTATTCAGATTTATATATATATATATACCTCCTAACCTTTAAAGCATTGTACATTTTTGACAGGTTGTTTTTTGTTTTTTTAACCATACCCATCAAGGCCTAATTTTTATTGTTTATTCTTTTGTTGCTTTTTTTTCTCCACTTTTTTTATTTTTTCTAATTTTTCATTTTTATCCTCTCCTTTCGGAACTTTTTTCTTTCCTTATTCTTAATTTTATGTGGGGTGGACATGGGACATTTTTATATCACAGAGCAGAGCCTGTATCTCATAGGCCTATGTTTTCCTTTTGATTTAAAATACAATGTAGGAAATATTTTTGTATACATAACAATTAATGCCACTTGATATATTTCGTGTTTGCAGGTATTAACATATTTTCTCACATATGTTTAGTTATCAATGGATGGAAAACTTGCTTATCCCATCTTTTCCCCTCTTTTCTCTTTTGTACTCTTTTTCATTGATGTTTATTCCTTTTAAATTGTTTTTATTTTTATTAAAGCATTTGAAAAGAAATAGACTCTTCCATATTCCCCTATTTCCCTTCCCCTCCATCCCCCCCCCATTTTTCCCTTCCCTTTCTAGCTGTTTCCTTGCATTTTTTGTTTCTTATTTTGTTATTCTTCTACATAAACAAACAATATTTTTTTATATCAAATGACAAGATTGAGAAAGGCATCTAAAGTTTATTGAGAGCCGTAGGAGTAGTGGTAGAGTAAATGTAGCTAATCGTAAGTAATTTTAAATATACTAGGGACATTTTCAAAGATTTTAAGCCCCCAATTTGGATGTTTATAATTCCTGAGATTTATATATAATATTTTTTATAGTTTCATAACGTATTTGTTCTTTTTTTTCTTAGCATTTATTTGACAAATATTATTCTCGTGAGTGTATAATTTGTGAACATTAAAAAAACAAAGATGAAAATAACTTTGTACCAATAATTCTTTGATATTGCAGCCAATTGCGTGTACCTGCTGATTTTTTACATTGGATATCGTTTGAACATCTTTGTTACAATTATCACACGCTGTTGAATTAACCCCACTGAGTTTATTTGGGTTGCAAATGAATAAACATGCTATTTAAAATGAAAATTTAATTTGCAGAGCTTTGTTGAAAAATTACTTAAATCACAAAACTGTACAACATAAAATACTCTATGGTTTAATTTAGTAAATCATTTATATCATTTTGTAAAATTGCATGATACTTACCCTATAGGATATGATACATTTTAATGAACAAACAAATCCATTAGTACAAAATGGAGAAACATCAAAGACTCCAGAGTTCTATTTGTCAGGTAACATGGTAACATGCCCTACAATTCACAAAGCTGCAATGTCCATTTATGCAACAATAATTAACTTTTATATTCAGAAATAGCAATAATTAAAATCAATATTTAGCATTCGTTTCTGTCTAGCTTTGATACAATATACAAGAAAGAAAGCCCTCTGTGAAATACAAGACAATGTTTAAAAAAAAAACTTACAGAAGAAATTCAATCTACGCAGCAGATGGTAATTGAGTCAAAGCTTTAGTAACTCTACATTAAAATATTCTTTGCAGAGTGATTGCATAGAAATGGATTTGATGTACCATTTCAATGCATAATAAACATGTGGATGGATTCAATTATTTTTAAATGCAGGCTTGAGTAGTTAAGAAGTTTAATTGCTCACAATTCCTCAATTGACCTTATAGGATATGAAAACTGATATATGGAATATTAATTGCTGCATATTTTTGATTCATAATAATTTGTTACTTGAATATATATATTTTTTACTAATATCTACTTAAATCTAAAAAAAAAAAAAACAGGATTGAGTGGCAAGGGTCACTACTTCCTGTGTTGCTTATCGACTGATACCTTGGAATGGTTTTTCACTAACCTGGTATTTTTTTGAAAAATAAAAATCTGTCAAGAGGAACAAAATAGCCAAACTGAAAACATTGGAACTGGAACGTGTGGCCTACAATATAAGAATCACTTTGAATTCACTTCAAATTCCTGACAATAAGCCTGTGAGACTTTCTCTTTTTTTTTTGTTTACGTCTTATGTTTAAAGCTAAAGTTTGGTATTTCTTATGTGGATGTCTTATGTTTCAGTTTTGAAAAGTTAATTTGTTACTGTTTTTAATTCATACATATCTCCCAAAAGTGCTGGATCTGGTGCCAATTTGGGTCCTTGTCCTGTGTATCAGTTTACTTATTCTCAGTTTTTACTTCTCAGGGACACCAGGAAGGATTTCTCAAAGGAGCAGAAGAAGCGCATCACTGAGAATACTTGCAACCAGATTGGAAAGAGCAATAAACACACACACAAAAAGCGGAATACTTTTACCAGGGTGTACCATACTTAGAGGATCAGTCCCCCAAATATCCAATGGGAAAAAAAGTACAAACTGTCCAGGCACACCAGGCAATTTCTCATTGGCTGTGAGTAAGATTGGGGCGGAGCTAAATTGATGGTGGGGCATGGCTACATGGGCAGAGGGCGGGGCTACATGCAGCCTCTTCTTGCTACCCAGTTACTGCTGCACACTGAGGTACTGCAATGCCCATGCTCCCCTTCCAGCCCATATTGTCTGTAAGTGTGAGTGAGAGAGAAGGCGTAGGTGTTTGATACACTTTTCTAGAAAACATTTATTCAGTCTCTCTACTAGTAATAATATGACAGAGAAGTGCGCTCTGCAACTCCATTAATCCCAGGCAGGCACACACGTAATAAGTCATTATGAGGAAAGGCCTAGCTAAAATGTACAATGATGCACTGAGATTAGAGTTGAGCGGACACCTGGATGTTCGGGTTCGGCCGAACTTTGAAAAAAAGTCCAGGTTCGTGCTCGAACTTGACCCCGAACCCAAACCCCATTGAATTCAATGGGGACCCGAACTTTTGGCCACAAAAATGCCTCTAAAAAAGTCATGGAAAGGGCTAGAGGGCTGCAAAAGGAAGTAAAATGGGGGTAAGAGTAGGACAAGTGCCCTGCAAACAAATGTCGATAGGGAAATCAGTTAAAATAACATAAAAATTAAAAATACAGCTGAGACATAAAATAGCACTAGATGGAATCTTTGATTTTAGCTTTGGAAGAACATAAATCAAAATCTAAAGCATGGCTGTCAGGAGGATCACCAGAATTATCCATTTGAAAGTTGGTTGCAGGGTATTCCTTTTCATTGTTCAAACTGAGCTCAACTCCTGATGCATGAAGAAAAGGCCTTCACAAGCCTCTGCCATTGTGCACATAGTTTATACTAAGTGACCCATAGGTTGAGGAGGTGGTGTAGGTGGAAGCAGCGGTAGAGAAGGAGGAGGTAGCCAACACTGTTTTTTTATATATATTTTTTTATTTTAGTTGGGGTAGCCCCCAAAATATTGGGACATATTAAAAAAAGAAACATTTGCGGCCTGTGGTGCATTTCTTGCAGTCCTGATGCATGGAGAAATGCTCAACTCCTGATGCATAGAGAAAAGGCCTTCACAAGCCTCTGCTATTGTGTACATAGTTTATACTAAGTGACCCATAGGTTGAGGAGGCGGTGACTGTGGCGGTGACCGTGGCGGTGTAGGTGGAAGCAGCGGTGGAGGAGAAGGAGGTAGCCAACACTGTTTTTTATATATATATATATTTTTTTTATTTTAATTGGGGTAGCCCCCAAAATATTGGGGTATATAAAAAAAAGAAAACTGTTCCACAGAGCGACTGACCCGTGCATGCTGCATCTGAAACTCCACTATCGCCTGCTGCTGCTTCCAGAGTCTCATGAGGCGGTGAGCAGGAAGGCCGAAGTTACGCTGCAGCGCAGATAGGCGAGCAGCAGCAGGATGAGAACGCCAAAAGCGCGCACAGATGGCCCGCACTTTCTGCAGCAGCTCTGATATATCTGGGTATACACCATTGCATCACAAGGGCCACCCAGAATTGGCTCAACTCCCATCAAGCCAAGTTTCTGGAGGAGATCACCCAGCTCATCATGGTAGAGCAGTTTTTCAATGTGCCCCCCAACGAGAAGGCGACGACTCATTCGTACGTCAATCTATATCAACTTTCGATGCCATTGACTGCGCCTACCATGGTGACCATGAGTAATGAGGAATCAGGGTTCGATTCCATACAGGGACCCTGACAAACGACTACCACATGCAAGGAAGGCAGCAGGTGCGCAAATGACTCACTCCCGACGCGGGAAGGTAGTGACGACAAATAACAATACAGGACTCTTTAGAGTCCCTGTAATTGTAATGAGTCCACTTGAAATCCTTTAACTCTGATCAATTGGAGGGCAAGTCTGGTGCAGAGCCACTGACCCATGTGTGCTGCTGCTGAAAATCCACTATCGCCTGCTGCTGCTCAAACAGTCTTTCCAGCATGTGCAAGGTGGAGTTCCACCTTGTGGGCACTTCGGATATGAGGCAGTGAGCGGGAAGGCCAAACTTACGCTGCAACGCACATCTGCTACAGTGAATGTCACATCCTGCTCCAAGTTGCGGATCAGTCTGATGATGGCTTCTGGTATCAGTACTCTTTTTACTGAAGCTGCATCAGGGTCCTGGTATGTGGCCGCACAAATGCTGGTACTCAACACCAGGAGGCATGCGGTTACCCTGCACTAGATCCTGCTAATCCATTCCACACTGTGACTCCTAACTTCTACATCAGGCATACAGGGTCCAGGTCGCCCAACCGCCGCCCAGACAGTGTCTGGGTCCCGGTCACCAGACTGCGAAACTGTGAATGACTCGTTAAATATGTTATGGTTCTTTTTATCGCTTCAACTGTTACTTGGATAACTGTGTAAATTCTAAAGATAATACATGCCGACGATTATTAGGGGACAGCAGCTCCACTTTTGCACCCTGCACCCTCTTATGCTGTGCTGGTGCCTCTGTTCGACCAGCGCCTCTTCCTCCAAACTGCACACGCCACTCGCATGACCTTGATTCTATGTGGGGTCTAGCACCTCATCATCCTCCACATCATCTTCCACTCACTCCTCAACCCGGCCCTCCTTGCCGGTATGCACACTGCAGAAAGACACAGCAGTTGGCACCTGTGTTTTTCCAGCATTTAAATCTGCAAAGGACATATGGAAATTGTTTTAGAATTATATCCAGGCAACAGTTTTCCCTATAAACTGACCTCTCAGTTTGACTTGTGAGTGTATTGCCCCAGAATTACAATATTGTTTAAGTACCTCTTAGCTGTTGATAGCTGGTTTAAATATAGCAGCTTGTTATCTGGTAGTTTCTAGTGTAGAAAATATCAATCTGTGTTCTATCACTTAGATCTGTGTAACAAGTGTTGTAGGTGTGAAACAATATTACAAGTGACCGATGTAGTAAATTCGACTCAAAGTTCCATTTGCAAAAGAAATTCTCACCCATCTTCTGTGGGTTATTGCATTTTTAAGATGTAGACTTATTGTATCACACTAGCCATGCACAGGTAGACTGTCTGGCACGTTGTTTTGGTGTTTGGTTTTTAACTTTGTAGTTGTGTCTTTACACAATATAGAAATGTATACTAATGCTTCTGTAAATGAAGCGATCACAATAACACTTATTTTTCACTTTTTAAAAATAAAATCAGGATACACAAAAATTGGTAGTTCACAATATGACATCCGAAAAGCACATGAAAGGATGCTGTATGATTTTAAAAACAAGAACACACTACAAGGAGGTCCTGTTCACTAGAGTGTGTAGTCATGAATGTAACCAGTAAAACTTTTTTACAGCCACTGGTTGGCCCATACATATTTTAACACTTTGTTTAATTTTGTTATAGCATGACTTGTAGTCTTGTTTTTAACTTGTCTATAATACATATTTTTGTATGACACTTAGTGTGTTTTTGATTATTGAATTTTAATAATCTAAGATAATTAACATGTCAACAGGCAAACGTAACCCGAATGATTTGTCTCAGTCTTGCCTTCTATACTACTTGCACCATAGGCAACATTTATTTGTCTTTAGACTTTCGTGAGAAGCGGTAACTAGCCAGTGTTGCACACATACACCAGATATGAAGTGCACACCCCAAATGTACTATTTAGCACCCAGAAAATAAGAATGTTTACAACTGCGCTGTAAGCGCACTATTAGACACATCTATTTGACTCTCAGATATGAAGAGCAGGCCCCAAAATGTACAATTTAGCAGATTAGCAGCAAAACAATTAGAATGTTTACAATTGCGCTGTAAGCGCACTATTTGACACTTCTATTTGACTCTCAGATCTGAATAGTATGCCCAAAATGTACTATTTAGCAGATAGCACCCAGAAAATAAGAATGTCTACAACTGCGCTGTAAGCGCACTATTTGCCTCTCAGATATGAAGTTCACCCCATTAATGTACTTTTTAGCACCCAAAAAATTTTAAGTTTTAAAACTGCAATGTGACAGCAGTATTTGACGCTTCTATTTGACTCTCAGATATGAAGTGCAGCCCACTAATGTACTATTTAGCACCAAAAAAAAAATGACTTTTTAATTCTCAGAAGTAACCGCAGTATTTGAAGCTTCTATTTGACTCTTAGATATGAAGTGCACCCCACTAATGTACTAGTTTGCAGAATTCTTTCCTAATCTGTCCCTAAAAGCAGCAGCATCCCCTCCCTACACTAATAAGAGCTCATGTGCGTGCGGCACTACGCGACTCCAGTTTATATATAGAGGCTGGGTCACATACTGCACTGGCCAATCACAGCAATGCCATTAGTAGGCATGGCTATGATGGTTTCTAAGGGCACACGAGTCAAACGCTTGTTGATTGGCTGCCCTGCAGCCTTTGATAACGTGCCATTAAATCACCATACACCGAACTCCAACCCGAATATACAGTGATATGTCTTTGTTCGGGTCCAGGGTCCAAAAAACGTAATGTTCGCTATGAACGCGAACTTTACAGTCCGGGTTCGCTCAACTCAAACGGAGATCTAACCCCTTTTATGCTACACAGTGTCTGACTGTAACTGTATGTATGTGACTATCTGTCTGTAACTGTATGTATGTCACTGTCTGTCTATGACTGTCAGACTTGACAAAAGCTCAAGGGAGCAGAAGCATTGTCATTTTTTTCTCTGAAACCATCAGGTGTGTCCAGATCATTCCTTTCACTACTGTAACTGTATCTGTGTAACTGTCTCTCTGTATCTGAGTGCATGTGTGTGTGTGACTGTTTACCTGTAATGCGTGTGACTCTGTGCCTGTGACTGTGTGCATGCAGCTGTATTTGACAGTACATGAGTATTACTGTGTGCATCTGACTGTGGGACTGTGTGCATGTGACACTATAAAAATACACATCTGCCTTCACACATGGACCAACATGCTGTAACGGATCACCTGGCACCCCGACTGGGTACCTCCGTTGAAGGATGTTCCTAGCACTTCCTGAGGACTCCAAGCACTGCAGCAGACACCACAACCACCGAACCGGAGAAGCATACGAATGCTCTCAAGCATATGAATGCTGTAAGCAGCTGAACAGGAAAAGCATACATTCAGCTTACACTCCTGGCAATCAGCATACAATCCAATTCCCCCAATAACGAGACGACACTTCGTTTTGAGGTCAAGCAGAACTGACTGTACTGGCACATACAGCCTCTTTTATTCCCAATCCACAAACTTAGTACTGCCCACAGGGTTTTACAGAACAACCAATAACACACGTACATTACACACAGACACTCCCACACAAAATCCTCCCCTCTGCCTGTGATATGATTACTGAACACAATGGTTAATCTAATTAACACAGGCAGAGAAATATAGTATTATAAAACATATCACAGGGACCCCAAAACATGCAATATCCCCATAAACAAATATATAATCGGAACCGGGGGATCTGGGTGAACCACATATCCAAAATTCACCCAGATCCGTTCAGTAGTTTGGAAGATGCAGTTTAATGCAGATTCCGCGGAACATATACAGGCTATATGAAAAATAATAACTGTATAATGTGTCCCCTGTTGTATAGTTTAAAACTACTGAACGATGTCTTCGTGCACCAAATACCGGCGAGATGGCACCATGTAGAAAAGTCCAAACAGTGTCTGTGAGTTAAAATGGCCGCCATCCATTGTTCTCACCATGTGCTCCATCCATTGTTCTCACCACGTGCATCTGATACATGAAATGGTGGCCACCCAGTAACTCCACAGTATGTCCCCAGATGGTTCTTAAAGGGCCAATAGCAGCATAATAAAATACAATATGACCAAATAATGTCTTTAAAGGGTAATACATCCCAGGGGCCATAGTCACATGGCAGGAGGCTGACAATCAGTCTTCTCCAATGCCCAGTGGCGAGGTTGGTTTCGCCACACATGCATTTTTATTTTTTAATCTGAATTAAGTAACCACTACAAATATTATACACAGTCAGAACCTTGAGTAGCTCAAAGTGAGCATAATCCTTTACTTATTACTTGTATTATTATTTTGTTATTACGATTTATGTATGTGTCCATATTTCTTATTATGGGTTAGAAGTAGTTTAACCTTGGCTTGTTAATAAAACTGATTAACCATGTTGTGAAATGATGCATGTTTAAAAAGTGTGTCACCAACATGAAGTTTGAAAAGCACTGCTATAGAGTATGCCTATTTTAACTTTTTTTTCCCCTGGGAAACCTGTATTTTAAAGTATATTTGGGACTATGATTAGTTTATCACCACAAATGAAGTATTTGGTCTACAATTCCAGATGTACTCTGATTGGCTGATTTAGTGGTTTGTGGAAGTAAACTTTTACATTTTTTGTTTCAACATGTCTCTCTGAGCTATTTCACCAAAATGCCTTTCATATCGAGGGATTTAAAAAAAATTAAATAGTACATCAGTGGAATAAATCGCTTTATTTAAACATAATTTACTAATTATTAATTTATGTGGCATTTATTTCTAAGAAAAATATATGACACTTTTAAGTCCAAGGTATCTATTCTGCTGTACTATATAAAGTTTAAGTTGTAATATTTATATTCGGAATAATTACTCAAATATATTTTATGACTATGAATTTAGAATATAATTCAAAAAGTCATGGGAAACAAAAATTTGCGTGTTGGAAGAATAAACAGTATAGTGCATAAATTGATTCAAACAAAAAAAAAATTATTTTGTAAAAAAAAATGGGAATTGTTGATGGTTTATTATATTATAAATTATATAATTTATTTTACTTTGCATAAATAGAGATATCAAAATAAAAATAGAAAAATGTGTATCTTTATTAATAAAAAAATAAAAAAATATTATTTTTTAATTATCATATGGTAGAAAAAGACACAAATAGGCTGAAATCAGATCATATATATAAAAATATAGAATATTTCTCGTC